TTTTCAGACAATTCATGAGGCACACATTTTCCAAGTTTAGGAACTTTTCCAAGTTGTTGAAGATGACGATGAGCAGTTGTATGGTTTGAACTGAGAACCACTGCCAATTCCTCAACTGATAAAGCAGGATTTTCTTCAAGGGCTGCTTCAAGAAATTTTTCATTAAACTCAACTGGATGTCCGGTTCAATCTTCATCTTCAAGGGTGAAATCTCCACCTCTGAATTTTGCAAACCATCTTCTGCAAGTTCTTTCATTCACACATTCCTCTCCATAAATTGAGTGAATGTTTTTAGCCGCTTTGGCTGCTGAGTTTCCTTTCTTGAACTCATAAAGCATTATGTGCCTCAAATGATTCTTGGGTACTTCCATGTTAGCAGGGTTTTAATCAAACAAAATTTAATTTTATTGTTCTCTGAAATAAAATTTGATCAGTTTAAATGCATCTAAACATAAAAATAATGTTCAGCTCCATTAGACATTATAAAATACTCTTTAAATTTCATTCATTTTAAAAAAAGGTAAAATTTGGACAGAACTTATGGGATGACCTGATATAAAGATATGGACACATATAAGGATGTTGGACAGCAGGAGTTATTCCACTGGGTGCTCTGGTATTACCCATGATCTATAAATCTATAACTCAACTAAATTACATTAATCTTAGTGTACTTAAATTTAAATCCCCCATTGCTTAGTAGTACAAAAGTATTTACCGTGAATCCCAGAAAAACACACTCCGTGGCTGTTAGTTTAATTGATCAATCCAACTATATATATATATATATATATATATATATAAAGTTGGATTGATCAATCCAACTAAATATGTTAGCTCTATCACTGATATTGAGCGCTTTCCAATAATATATATATATATATATATATAGAATATACTATAGACACTATTGCCTTCAGAAATAATTTTCTTTGATAAATAATAAAATTTTACAAGAATTGTTTTAAAAATTTAATTAGAATAATTTATAAACATTTAAATTTTTAAAAATTATGTATTAATTTGTAGCAGTCTGGTGACATTGTTTCCAAATTAACACTATGTACTAATCATAAATGGAAAAGCTCACTACAATTTAACAACCCCCTATATTTAAAAGAAAATTTTGAATTTACATTATGTGTGTATAAATGATTTTTGTAAATACAGATTTCTAGATGCAACCTTATCAGGAAATAAGAGTAGTAACTATAGTAAAATTAAAATTTATTAGTAATTTTCTAACATTTCCTTAACAAGCATCTTTGTAAGTAAGACTATAAAGCCAAAGTATCTAAAATTCAATAAAATATTAGAATGCCAAGAATATTTTCTTAAATATTTAAGATTACTGGGTAGTTAAAAAATATATTAAAAAGGCATTCATGTTATATTCATCAAGTAATTGTTAGTTATGTCTATCTTAGAAAAAATTCCTAAACATAAGTATATCAAGAGAATTGTCAGAAGCTCATAAAAACATTTACCACCATGTTAAAAAATGCTTTTCTGTGATATTTTAAACTGAAAGTAATATCTGTTTCAAATCACATTAATTAAACTTTAAATCAGCTTATCTTCCTCAAATAAAGGTTCAGCTAAGTATATTTTATTTTTGAAAGATTTTTTAATAAAGAGAATTATGTTGTGTTGTCAGATTAGTCAATCTGGTTGACTTTAGCATTTTTAGTTTTTGAACAATAAAAAACCTCATTCCACTCAATTTAAATTCAGTTTGAAATAAAATATTTTGATTATTGTAAATATCAAATAAATGTAATCACTTAGCTTGAAATTAATAGCAAAATAAAAGCTTCAAGAAAGATTTTTTTCTTAATTTTTAAAAATGCATTATATATCTCAGGTATTGCTTTTCTTTAGATGTACATAATTAGAAAATCTATGACAAAATGTCATGTGAAAAAAGTATTCGTGTGATGTGTTTTTTTGTTTACATTACTACACATATGCATGAAGGAGAGGGGTCATTGAGATTTTAAATTTAATTAATTTTCTTTCGGGGATATGTAGTCTAGCCGATTTCATTCAATTTTATTTTATCCTTCATCCACACGTCTAATCACATCAAATATAAAGTCATTTTTAGTCTGATGAAGCCCCTAAGTACGAAATGCGTCACCCAACTTTTCCTATTTTGTTGTAGATTTTCCTAAAATTGTTCTCATATAAATTTCTTTTTAATTTATCATTTTCCCATAAATATAGGCAGAATATAAAAATAAAGTGAAATTTAATTGCACTTAAATGCAGGTTATTATTAGGAGCCTTTAGAATCCTGCTACCACTTTCCTTTCAATGTCAATTTTTGTGCAAGTCTGCAAAAAGTCGATCACAGAGCCTTGATATTGGTCAGTTAATATTAAAATCATCTTCTCGCCTACATCCATAAAATGCTTATTCAAAACCATTTTTCCGCCCAAAATCAGAAATGCTCTCTGGAGCCCTATCATGTGATTACGTCTATTATAAATACTTTGACACAAGTTTGTTCTTTCTCTTGCCTTCTCTGACATACAAGATGTAATAACTAAAGAATTCGCGTTTCGACCCCTTACAGGTGAACACTATGAAAACATCACACATACACGTACATACGGAACATTCACATATATGAATTCACTCAAACACACTTACATTCAACAATTTCCAAGAACATGTAACATTAAGTATGAAAACAAACATTACAAAAAAATCTCTCACTCAAGCCAGCAAGTGAATAAGTATCAAAAGTTGACTCAACCCAACTAGTAAGATTTTCTTCAGCAACAAACATAATTCTTGTCAATATTCAAAAAAAAATATTATTACTTTAAAAACCTTCTGAAGCTACAAGGTTTTATCGAAAATATTCTCAGCTTTCCAGAATTCTTTCAACTCTCACACGGTGAACATTGTGAGCGCCAAGTTAACTCAACTTTTCAATATTTCATGAACTGAAATTTTTTACTGTGAGCTCAGATAAAAATATTTCCTTCTTGATGGACGTTAAGAAGTTCAGGATAAAGGTACATAACTCTTCCTATTGATGTGCTATTATTGTGTGTGATTAACACACTTAATTATTTGTATGTCATTACAGTATATAAAATGAATATTGTTTGTTATAAAAACAGTTTTTTGTGTTGTTTCTCTTGTTTGCTTTTCGTTTGCTTACACATTTGTAAAGAAAAAAAATGTACGGGTTGATTTAGGCCGTCAATATCGCTACAAGCCCCCCCCCAAAAAAACGTAACATTTAAACGGGAATAAAAAAGGAAAGGAGAGAGGATGACGATTCAGATGCGAGTGGATAACAACGACGACATTTTATATATATATATATATATATATATAATATTGAGTAAAGTGTAATTTATAAATTCTTAAAATTATTTCTTTTTTCCTAATTGTTCTGACGTTCAGTGATGCAAGGGGAATAATTTTATATATTAGAATTATTTCCCTTACCGCATTTAAAAATTTATACAAGTATGAATTCATTATCTTTTTCGGTCAAACGAACATAATTTCCCTCATAATATTTATTTCTTTATAAGTTGTCGATTCTGCATTAGAAAAATTAGAAATATTCTGTCCCTATAACGACATACTTGTATGCATAGTTTTTTTTGCCATAAAAATATCAAAAACATTTAAAAATTTTTTTTTTTTTTTTTTAAAGTCTCGAACACTACTACAATTACTTCTTTTTTTTTTTTTTTAAAGACCTAATTAATCTAATTTTTCTCTTTATTGTGTTTATTTTTGTTTTAAAATTTTACAAGTTAAATCTACCAATTACAGTTTTACACAGGTCGGAACGTCTCCGACACAGAGAAATAAGTTAAAAAAAAAAAAGAAACGGTAAACTATGTAAGTAAATAAAACATTGTGAATTCCATATTTAAAGAACTTAAACTGGACGGGTAATTATAACAATTACTTTCCTTTTCATAAGAACTGTTTTGTTTATTAACTTTAAAAGTTTAAATTAAATTTAAAAATAAAAAAAACTATGTTTTGTATATATTTTTAACATAATTTTCAATGCAACTGAATTTATTTTACATAGTACGAATAATATTGCTTAAAAAATTAAAATCAATTATCCCTTCAGATCAATAAGGTGCCTCACCTGTCCGGCACCGTTAATTGGGATTTTTAAATTTCACTTTAAGTTAATCTCCTTCGTGAGTTATTTCCCTTGTATCTGACATTCTCCACTTGGCGGCAGCACAGGTCAACCATGTGTCGATCTTCCCTGGACAGGACGATGATCTTTGTTTAATAGTTAGGGTCGTGTTTTGTTTTGTAGTCGAGATTATATTTGGAAACCTATCAATTTCTCCATTATGCTATTACGTCCCATCAAAGAAATTTTCTTTAAGTCGGCTTTATGTATTTTCGCGCGTAATAAACGTGTTAATCATATGACTATTAATTTGAAAGATTTCCTACCGGTGAGAGAGGTCATTGTTCGTGCGACTTTAAAAGATAATATTTCAAATAAAACTGATTTTCTAAACAAACAAACCTTCTCCGCTTGTAAATTTGGCGTTAAACAGTCTTTTCATCAACCCTATTTGTCGGTGGGCTGTCCTAAGTTAAGAAGCTTTACCAATATGTCCTCTACTTTGTTTAAAAGGGTCGGATCTTTTTCAGTTTCATGTGGTCGTCATTTGTGTACAAAAACCAATAGTGCAAATATCCGTTTGGGTTACACAATAAAAAATCGTTTTCTTTTTCCTGGTTTCTCCCACGTTAGTATCTGGAAGAGAGGAAGTGCATTAAATCGTAACGACAACAGAGGCGTCGATCATCGGATTTTGTACCTGGTCTATGGGTCCTGCGCTATAGGTGCCATTCTGATTTCGAGTATTGCTTTTACGTATTTACGGAGTCTGTACAAGAGACTTGCTTACGGCATTCACACTTTCTACGACCCACCGTTTGGACGGCGACAGAAACTCATAAAGTATAAAGATGTGATTCTACCTGCGATGCTCGAAAAAAAGTTGAACGAGATTCGAAAGTTTACCGTCAGAGCAGACGACGTGTGGGTCATATCTTGGCCACGATCAGGTAAGAAATTAGAAATAAAATAATTCTTAAAAGAAATAAAAATGATGCCACTTTTTTTTTTTGTTATACGACTAAAAACTAAAAAGTGCAAGTTATGAGTTGTTCAATTTTAAACGACTATTTGTGTTAATAATATTAAATATTAACCTTAAAATTTTTACTAACAAATCTACAATCTTCCCATGGTCAATTTTACAGCTGGCTTCTATGCTTACAGACAAAAAGTTTGGGACCACTTTGCTTGCAAAACAAACACCTTACTCAGTTACTGTGTTCCAGTGTGCTTTATTTTTTAAAGATAGAATTTCAGAGGTCCCTAACTTTTTGCCTGTTAGTGTAGGGTTTGGTTTTCTCTAATCTAAAATGTGTGTAGTAGTATAACAGAAAAAAGTACCAACAATAAATTAAAAACAAAGTTGTAAAAAGAAACTCCCACGCGGGCTCGGATTATCCCTGCAAGTCTAGGGCTCCTCAAGCTTTTATAAAGAAATATTTTTTTTTTTTTTTAATTCTTTCGGTCCTAAATAGTTCCATAAACTGAAATGATAATGAATTTTTAAAAAATTCATATTTATTTGATATTTCAGGAAGCAAAACAAGGAAAAGAACTGATCTAGTTTCCAAATGATGACAATTTTTGTTTTAGGGAGGTAGCAAGGAGGTTCTGGAAAACTTAAATGTTCTTGCCACTATCCATGTTGGCGGCCTTTGATAACTTAAAGACTAAATTCTGAATTTTTTTGCCCCCCCCCCCAAACATTTGTCTTTGCTATGGCCCTGGTAAGTGTGACTGGTGTCTCAAGAAAATTGCCCCTTTCAAAGCAACTTCACTATCTATTTAGCTTTTACTTTAGACATTTTAGAATTTAGAGCGATTTTCCCACATGTCGGTGAACCGATACAAAATCGCTTTTTAAAATGACCTCCATGTGTACTATTTGGGGTCTGTAATAATCGTGCCTACCAACGTTTATTAATTTCTCACAAATCCAAGATGTTTCCCTGATCACTACAATATTCTTAACCTGTTATCTTCCCCACATATCCCCATATAAACTGTGCCTCTTACTCTTTCTTTAGCCCTCTACTTTGAGTAGCTCTCGGACCTTGTACAAGGTGAACAAACATCAATTTAAAAAAATAAAATTACGGTAAGAATGAATCTTCTATCCTTGATGTAACATTTATTACGTGTTATCATTAATTTATTTTTTTAGTTGTTCATAGAAAATCAAAAGTTTAAACAAAATCTTTATACCTGTGTCTTAGTTTTAAAAAAATCTGTTGTGTACAGCTGATCTCAAAACCACTTCTTCCCACGAACCATTGCTCTGTAGAACTGACTTCCAAAAGGACACTTCCCTGATCACTACAATAACCTGTTTAAGTCTAGGGTTAACCATTATCTTCCACACATAAATAATGTTGTATTTACATATGCTAGCAGCTAGCCTGTCATGTCAAAGGACAAGACAAGGTTGAAAAACTGCCCTGTCCAAAAAAGTACAGGGAAAAAGTAAAAATAAAACCAAAAGATGGAAGATCAGCAGTGCAATAATCAAGAATTTGTTATTTATGTTTAAAACTAAATTTTATTTTTTTTATTCTATACACTTTTATTAAAGTTAGCATAAGGAACAATTTTATTTTTTATACTGACTGAACAGGAGAGACAAAATTAGATTAATATAAAATACTGACTTGTACTCCTTTGATATTGAATAGTAGTCAGTCAACACGAGATATCAGGATTATTTTTGTACATCCATATAAAAAATAATCTAACAGTTGCTAAAAGGAAAAATAAAATAGAATTCTTCTAAAAAAATGTTTGCACTCGGAAATGACATTAAACTTTATTTTTTAAAATTCCTAACATATCATTATTTAATAAAATAAACTTTTGTGATGAAACAGCAATGGGATTGAAGTTTCAAGGGATAATAACAAAGAAACACACGCATTATATTTAACAAAAAAGTTAAGGAATTTATTTACAAATTTACACATTTGAAGTTGTCAGTAGCTTGTTTCAGGAAAAAGAATCAAATATTTAAAGTTTGTAGTTTCGATGAAATGTCAAGAAGAGAAAATGTTCATATTAAATCATCGTGCACAAAGTAATATTCCAAAATGTTCAAAAATAAATTGTGATAGTTTGTTTTTCACATAAAAGTTATATTCAACATGAATGAAAAGCTATATTTTAAGATAGCCTTGGAATTGAATAGAGTTCTTTGAAATTGCCCTGCTTTCATTACAGTCTGATAATGTATCAGTGTGTAATTTGATGCCAGTGCTATTCAGATGTGTGGAACTCTGGTTTTTTGCCTCCTGCTTCTTTCTGATTTCTCTCTCTACCTATTTATATGAAAAAGTGATTTCACATCAGCTTATTACTTTTTTCTCAGTTTGTAAGCCACTCCCTTTTCCATTGATCAAAATAAATTTTCACATAGGCATGTTAAACTTTGCCTTGGTCTTTTTTTCTGCCCGAAACCAATTGGTCAAAATAAATTTTTGCATAAGTTCATGAATTTGAAAACAGTGGAGATATTTTTATTTCAAGTTCACCACAGGATTAATTTAAAATTACACTAAAAAATTACAAGTAATTTTTAAAAAATAAATATTGAATTTTAATTTTTTTTTTCTGTCAAATTGGAAGGAAAATAAATGTATTATTAAATTATGCAAGCACCAATTCTCATAAAAAATTATTTTTAGTTTTATTGAATTGTTTTTGGCAAGATACAGGCTGAATTTTCCATGTGTTCACACTCACTATTGCATGAGTTTGTTTTTTTTTTTTTTTTCCTCAAATGTTTTCAGGGATTTCTTTTTATATAACTGTAAAAAAAATTGGACAAGCCTCCCCTCCTGCCATTAAAAAGTATAAAAATTTCAACCACCTGTTTTATTCAAGACCTGAAATTACATTGGGATATGCTTCAAAATTGCTCAGGTCCTTCAGCAATTCTTTCTGGGTGCCGGCCATTGGGGATTATTATTGGGTGGGGGGTTACTGCTTGACAGAATTGCTCCTGAGCAGAGTTACTATAGCCAGCCAGTGAAGTTCCAAGAGGGTCAAAAGGTGGACAATAAATATGAAAGAAAAAGAAGTCTTTCTTTTCAAACTTAGACAGGTTGAAGTTGTAGGAATCTTTTTTTCTTTTTCTTTTCTTTTTTAAAAAACAAAATGAAATACAACTTCATTTCAACTTTAATCAACACTGTTTCTTCTGGGCTCATCAGATAAAGTGTGACATACCTCAAAAGAGGACTACTGTCCCTTTTTTTCACTTTGCAACGATGCCACTCAAACAACAATATGAATTTGCAAGTATGATATGCAATCAAAAATAATAAAAAATTTTCTTCAAATTCTGAAACATGCATTTGATACTCGGTAGAAATTCTACATCACCTTAACTTTGCCACAATGCTGCTTCTGTCAAATTTTGGGTGCTAACTTTATCCATGCATAGCAAACAAACAAGGTCTTTATCAAACAAAATCCTTCCAACGACAAGGAACAAATACAATGGGATGACAAACCAATTCAACATGGAGTATTAAAAAAAAAAAATGTTAATAGCAAATGCTGAACAATTTGCATTACCAACACATTTTCCAGAACATGCTACATTCTATTAGAAAATAATACAACATTCTGATGACAGCACAAGTATATTTCGTCGAATCATGCATCTCAACCATGTTTCTGATACCTTTTCTTTTCAATTCACGCAGACAAAAACAATTACATAAACTTTACACATGGGCTGAAAAAAAAATTCTACCCATCTGAAGGAGAGTATTGTCAGGTTACCCTCCTCCTAATTTTCCAAACCATTAATAAGTGGGTGAGGGGATGCTTTCCAGACTATAAATACTTAGCGATATAATTTTCTTGCTCTCTTGTCACTTTTTTCACATACACGTCAACAAGTAAATCTCTCGCTGAGAACACATTCCCTTTGGGAAACGCATAAACAATACATACACACGTACGTATACACATTCACTCATGACACATACTTTGCACCCAAAAAGCTTTTATGTTCATTTGTTACACGCATTATTGTCTATATCACTTGTATACCTTTGTTAATGCATTATCATTTGTTTGTACATATATATATTGTTTCTTGTTGTTTCTTTTCCTTTATTTATGTGGACTTACATCCCAAGTCGGCCATGTTTGTTGTGGGTATTTCAGGAGGCACACATGTTTATCTCTCAACACGTACACCAGCCCACAACAAAGTCTAGCTGTAACGTTATCCTATGAATATAACAAACCTTGCAGATTTTGGCATTAAATAACAATTAAAGATTGATATGCCACTAAACAAAAACAACTGACCAATTACTATGTTTGGCCAATTATGGGTTGGTTGAGATTATTTAAACCTGTTGTTAAGATGGATGGCTGTCGACTCTGAGGAGTTCATCAGCCCTTAACACCTCTTGTTTCTTGTGCTTCTAGGATTGCAATTACCCTCTTCACCATATACACTTTATACATATATCAGACATAAAACTAACAACTACTAGTACCCAATACTATCAATGAAGCTTGTTTGACTAATACTTTATATATTACTGAATACAAGGTCCAAACGTTTTTATCCCCACTATTAATGGTAGGGAGACCTTACTTATCAATCAACTTCTGTAATATTATTAAATCTATTCCCAGTTTTGGGGACATCTCTTGCACAACCACCCTTTTGTGATTCAATTCAACTTTTCTTTTGTATCCTCAGGAACGACCTGGGTCCAAGAAATTGTCTATTTAATACAGACAAACCTTGATCTTGATCTGGAAGCAGCGAAAAATATTGAACAGAGATTTGCATTTCTTGAAAATTATCCGGGTTGAAAATGCCTTGAGGTCCCTCGTCTCATAAAAAATCTACCATTCATTTCTGAAGAACAATGGAAGAATTAAAGGTGAGGAAAATTTAACCCCTCGTCTTTTTTTTTAAAAAAAAAAAAAAAAAGTTCATCTACCATTTCATTTGCTGCTAAATCAAACATAAAATGGAAATCAAACAAATTTATAAAATTTCCTAAATCAAACAAATTTATAAAATTTCTGGCTAAATCAAACAAATTTATAAAATTTCTACTAAATCAAACAAATTTATAAAGTTTCAAACAAATTTATAAAATTTAACCTCTTATAAAATCAAACAAATTTATAAAATTTCTTTTTTTTTTTGGCTAAATCAAACAAATTTATAAAATTTTTTAAAAAAAAAAAAAAGGTTCAAATTTATAAAATTGCCAAACAAATTTATAAAATTTCTGGCTAAATCAAACAAATTTATAAAATTTCTGGCTAAATCAAACAAATTTATAAAATTTCTGGCTAAATCAAACAAATTTATAAAATTTCTGGCTAAATCAAACAAATTTATAAAATTTCTGGCTAAATCAAACAAATTTATAAAATTAAGTGAAGCCTGACTTGCCCCAATTTAACCTCTGACCTTGAGATAACCTGGCTAGAGAAAGTAACATACAAGGTGGTCCGAAAGTTTTGTCACTCACTATGAAAAAGTAATGAGAATAATAGAATAAGTAATACAAAGCATGTGTACTGTATTTGATTTATTCACTTTCATTGACACTGTCACACATCGAGAAGGTCTATATGAACACCATCATTTTTGTGTCAGTCATCTAAAAAATGGAAAATTATATTATGTAGGGGTGACACGACTTTCGGACCACAATGTACAATAATGTCACTTCCGTGTGCTTTTCGGTGCCAAATAGACATACTCTACTCCTGTTTGTTTACTTTTAGATATTTTTTGACCCTCACCGTGAATCTTATTCAGATCTCTTGACTTTTATTCATTTTTGGTTATTCATAGTCAAGTACTCAATAGGTTACTGGGAAAACTTAATGGAAATTATTTTCAATTTTCTTAAATGGACATTTATTTATAGTTTTTTTTTTTCTTCGGTTTTGTTATAATTTGACGAACATGTTTTTAATCATTTCCATCCTGACTAATATCCTCCTCATTTTTGTTATCATGTTTCAATTGTTGTGCCTCCAACCTTTTCAGTTATGTGAAAGTTACCTGGATTGACTGACACCTGAAGAAGGCCAGAGGGTGCAACAGCTGAAACATAACAAAAATAAGGACATTGGTCTGAATTAATTTTTTTTTTTTTTTATTGATAGTTCACCTAATACAAGCCCCAAGATCCACTCAAGGTAGAGGCTTACTGAGTGAGATCGTAAGAGAGAGGGAAGTAAGATTATTATTAGGACAAGTAGGATAGATATCGGCTGACCCTGGACTTAAAGAGACTAAGATTGTAGCTGGTAAGGAAGCATTTTCTTGGTTTTTATCAAAGGAACACAATGAGAATGGTTTGCCACCATAAAGACGGCATGTGAATGACCAAGCTGGTGACACTAAAAGCAATGTAATTTGCCCGAACATCTGCCATAGTAATAATACTAACAACAACTCCTCATTCAAGAAATGCAAACAGAAATTGTTTTTAATTATCCCCTCCCCATGCATTACACACCACCCACCCACCCACATTCTCCCCATTTATTATAACGCCCTACCTCTTTTATTTGACACTTGAATGTACAACAGCTGAAATATGCAGGTAAATTGTTTTTTTTTTATATTTGTAATTATTTCTGAGTCAATTATATTTATTTAATTTTGAAAATAATATTGAGACATTAAACGTGTTTAAAACAACAAAATAAAATTGATATTCTTGATGATGGCCATGTTTTCATTCAAATAAGAAAAGGTTTCTTTCTTTTTTTTTTTTTCTTTTTTTAATTCAAAAATTTATTTTTTTAAATTTTTTAAAATATTTTTTTCTTTTTAATCATTTCACCCAAAAGGCAGGCAATAAAACCTCTAAGACACAAATGGTTACTGCATATTAGAGAATATGAAATGAAAACACTATTAAGAAGAGAGAACAATAAAAGAATAAGAATTAAGAAGACAGAAGATGACGATTGAAATTGCATTTAAATTTTTGAAGATCAAACTTGACTTGGAAGCAAGAAGCTGGAAGAGAGTTCCACAAGCGAGAAGTGCAAGAAACTGTTAAATAGAATTTATGCTTACATATAGACATTTCAGCTGTAAAATGATGAAACCTTACTTTACAGGCAATCTAGTAATTAACTTAAATTCATAAAGCCGAGGTAACATAGAGGAAAGTTCATCAAAACAATTACCATGAAAGTATTTATAGAAAAGGTATGGGAACAGCTAGTTACAGCAGTGGGAAAATGACTAAATAAAGCACTTTTAAAATTTAGAAAAGAGTTTAATTTCTTTTTTTTTTCACATTATTTGAAAGCAACATCTGTTGTTTGTTGACTTATTTAAAAAGATCGTGCTCATCAAAATTCTATGAATTTTTTTGTAGATAAGTTTTGTGTGAATTTCTCGGATGAGAAGTTATCATTATTTCCATTTCAACTAAGATGAGGATAAGTAGTCTTAATAGGAAAAACAATATATAATTTTTTTCATATGTCAAGAATAATTTTAGGAAAATCTGACAAAGTGGAAAAAAGTTTTTCATGTGATGCATTTTGTCCTCAAGGATTTATAAAAAAGAAAATGTAAATTTAAGATTTAAGCATTCCCTCTCCTTTGTGCACATGTGGAGTCACATCAACGTAAACATCACTTTAGTCTGAAGTCCCAAAGGACATATCACACAAAAAACTTTTTTCCACTTTGTTATAGATTTTCTTAAAATTAGTCTGAATGTAAATGATAAAAATAAAGATAATAATTTTCTCTGGAATATTCTTTCTTCATCATTTCTTTGATTTAATTCACTAATGGCCAACATTCTAAAAGTGGGGAGGGTTGGCATTAATGGGGAGAAACCTATAATTAATACAGCACTTTCATCATCAGCTTTATCTCGTATCCAAGAATTTAATTTCTTTACTGATCGCTTCCTTTATGATGATAATGTTGATGACTAAGTAGACCGATTCTTGCCTGGAAGAACTGATGCCATTGACTGAATAGTAATGTTGGTCAAGGATGAGGTTGATTTTTGTTGTGCCTTTCTCTCTTGTGATTCGAATTCTTCCTTTTCTCTTCTGGTGGCTTCAAAGTTTTTGGTTCTGATGGTAAGGGTACACCACCAGTCGATACAATCTCTGGCTTGTGTTTCAAATGATTTAGGCTCAAGTCCAGTGGCTTTCAGTGTTGTTTTCAGTTGGTCCTTGTATCTTCAAAGAGGGTAACCCCATGGTCTTTTCCTTGAAGTGAGCTCACTGAATATGACTTGACATGGAAACCTTGATTCTTCCATTCTTGCTACATGTCCATCGAAGCCAATGTTTAATGATCAGCAATTCAATGCTTTGACTCTTTGGTGTTGGCCACATACTATTTCCATTTAATGTCTAAGATTGAACGAAGCTTTTGCTGGTGAAAGCATTCTGATTTTTGGATATTGCCATGATTTTGAGTCCAGGTTTCACAACCATATAACAAACTTGAAATGACAACAACATTATAGACCATAATTTTTGTTGTTAAGTTCAGGTTTTTGTTATTGAAGACGCATTTGATTAGCTTTCCAATTCTGTGTTCCACATTCTTTTCTGGGGTGCACTTGCTTGATAAAAGGCTGCCTAAATATGGAAAAGGTTCTATTTGTTCTAGAGGTGTATCATAGATGATGATATCAAAATCTGGTAAGATGGCATTTGGGGTTGGCTGTGCAAGGACCTTGATTTTATTGATGTTTACTAGAAGGCCAAAACAATGGTAGGCCATAGCAAAGTTGTTCAGACTGTTCAATTTTTTTTTCTTTTGAATGACAGAGGTGAACTTTGTCATCAGCATATTGAAATTCTGAGGTTTGTTGCATGTGTGTTAGACGTTTAGATCAATGAAAAGTTCCCCATCATCTTGATATGTGGTGTCAACTCCTGGATTGTCTGGAGGAAGTTTGTGAAACATTTCAGCCAGATACAAGGAGAATAACATAGGTACCAAGACGTATCCTTGTTTTAGTCTGCACATGATTAGAAATTCTTCTGAAAACATGTTTTGGTGGAATAAATGTCCAGCCAGATTGCCCCCTTTTCCTTGTTTTTTGTATCACTTTTAAGTCCTTTAATAATGTTCCAAGAACTGCTACGTAGAAAGTTCTTCATCGTTTTGGATGTCCCAATAAATTTATCTCTCTGCTACAGCTCTTTAATAAACCTATAATTAATACCAGATTTTTTTGTTTTGTTAGAAGCCATTAATTAATACAAGATGTTTATTTTAGGTTTTATAATTAATGCTGTGTTAACTCTGCTCACCTAACTTTCAGATGACTATTATGGAGATTGTTAATGCTAATCCTCCCAAGGATTGAACTCTTCATCCTAAACTAACAAATATTGTTTTTGTTTTTTTTCTTCACCCAAAGCATTTCAAGTTGATAATGCCACTAAGAAGGGTAACTGGGAGTGAAAGAGAATGAGAAAACTTTAGAAAGAACCAGAAACTCAATCCTAAACAGGAAACAAGGGATAAACCTCTACTCCTGTTCAATACATGGGGAAGGAGTTTGAACTGAGAAATAGGCAAACCTATCTACTTCTATTAAAAAAAAAATAATAAAAGTAAGTGAGAAAAAAAAAAAAGAAAATTGATTGGGTTATTTTAGTTATAATTAACAAGCAATACCAGTATTTTTTTTCTTTTTACAGTGAGGTCCATCCCTTTACAAGGCCTTGTGGAAGGGGCACTTGAGGTAGAGGGTTACATTTGGGGGCCATTTGGGTGCATAGGAATGGAAGATAACTGTTAAATCTAGCCTTGAACAGTTTAAGATTGTAGTGACTGGGAAAACATCCTGTTGGGAGTCAGTTCCACAGGTCAGTGGTGTGTGGGAAGAATCTGCTCAAGTGAAACTTACTTCTCATTGATGGAATACAGAGGGAATATGAGTGGTTTGCTACTATGTAAGTGGCATGGCGTGTTCTTGCTGCCTTGGTGGGACCAGGGAATGCAGTTCGTCCATGCACTTTCCATGGAAGTAGTGGTAGAGCTGCAGGAAGCTTGCCACATCCTGCCTGTGGGAGAGAGGTTGAAGGGTGGAGAATAATTTGTTATCCACAAGGGCTTGAAGACACTTTGGAACTCTATCAAGGCCAGAGAGTAAGGTCTTGGCAGTTTCTACCCAAATATGACAACAGTACTCCATTTTTGACCTGGTCTGGCTCTTGTAAAGGTAGAGGATTACCAGAAGTCAGGTACTTACTGGAGTAGTACAGAGAGCTGATCATTTTACCTGCATGCTTAGCAATGAATTGTATGTACGAGTTCCATTTCAGGTCAGTTGTGAGTTTGAGACCCAAGTCTTTCAAGGCACAGTGCTTCCCCTAGTGGACCGCTGTTCATCTTGATTGGTGGTAATTCAGGGTCAGATCAGTGATTATGAAATGTAACTAGCTTCGTCTTTGAGGCATTGAATGTAACCAACCAGTTTTTACCCCAGTGGATAGTTTGTGCAAGATCAGAAGAGAGATCAATTGCCATTCTCTGACCATCAAGAGTTTTAGAGGTGCGCTCGTATATAGTCATATCATCTTAGGCAGATCAAAATGAGGGTTGGTCTAAGGAGTGACCTCAGGGGGACACCTGCGTTGACCTTTAGGGATCTGTGGGACTGGCCCTTAATAACTACCTTAAGGGACCTACCTGTTTGGAAGGATTTTATGATCGAGACAACCTTTTCAGTAGTAAGCTTTTGTGCCATATCTTGTTTGAAGGCCTTTGAGTTTTTTACCCTGTCTCACCTGCTAATTAAAAATGAATCCATCGTTTTCCATAAAAATTCATTCAACTTTGTAATCTATCCTGTGTAATTTAATAGCTTAAGCAGCTGTAATTATATTTGTATTATATTTCACAATGGCTGATCATGAAAATTTTCCCTCTTTTTTATTTATTTCAGGTTATTTATGTAGTGAGGAACCCTAAAGACATTCTTATCTCGTATTACAGTTTCCTAAAAATGCTAACACCATTGAAATTTGAAGGAACATTTGAAGAATTCTGTGATAGATTCACTAAAGACAAAGGTTGGTTTATTAAAACATTTTTTTTTTCATTATTATTATTATTATTATATACAAACTGTATCCATTGATTGATTTGTTTTTTTTTTTTTTTTTACAGCTTATCAACCCTTTGTGGGTTATTTAAAGCTTAAATATACTTTGGATTGTAGGAGAGTGCTTACAGTACTTGATATTCCCAAGTGATCTCCCATCAAAGTACTGATCAGGCTCAACATTGTCAAACTTTGGAGATTGAACTGTTAGGGTCCCAGCTATGAGCAAATAGTTAACCCCCAAACCCAGATCTCATCCTGGGTATGACGATAAACTCCATCCGCGTCCTGGGTATGACGATAAACTACGTCCAACAGCAAGGTCTCTGATAATACGTTTTTGAAAAAATAATGTTGCCAGCTGTACATTTTTGAAAAAAAAAATATTACCAACTATACATTTTAGAAAAAAAATAATATTAACAGCTATACATTTTTGAGAAAAAAAAATATTAACAGAAATGGATTTTTGACAAAACAAAAATATTACCAGAAAAAAAAAGAAGTCAGCATTAAATGACTCATTGAGGTGTTGATGTGCCGTAAAACAAATCATGTCTCGGACTCCTCCCTGTTCTGCCATCCATTTACATCCCTGTACCTTTTGCTTTTGATATTTTCTGTGTATGTCAAATTTAACAAGCCCTCTTTCTACCTGTGTCCCATTGAATTTGAATTCTAGTCAGGTTCATTACATTCACTTTTGCACAAAGACCTTTGGGAAATATATGAATCCATTTCCTCTCCCCCTACCTATGGGTTCAATAGGACCTATAGCCTTGGTTGGCAACCAGTCTATCACAGAAAGAGACAACAATATACTGCAGGAAAATCTGCCAAGTCAATCATGAGTTGAGACGTAACTGCCCAAGCGTGTATCATATATAGCACTTAAGTGACTGACCACAAAGATAAAGTGTAAAGGAGCAATAAAAGACAGGAAGCTGTGGAGGAACATGACTCTACTTGTCTCAAAGAGACAACATATAGAGAGAACTATGATGCCAACTGATCTTCCACCATACAATTATACACTTTGTTAATTATACAAAGGATGCTGAAAAGTTCTGTCCAACTCGCTTTTCAAAATCTGACCAAATGAACAAACACATGTTTGGTCTGGCTGAGAACTTTTCACCATTCCACATAAGTTTATAATTTATTAATATTATACTTTATTTATTATAATAATTATTTTATTATACATGAATTATGTATTTATTGCAAAAATAATTAGAATTTCAAATCTTTTTCATATTTATCTCTCATTTTATGTTTCTTTTAAGTTTACTACTCACCCTGGGGAAAACACGTGAGGGATGCCTGGGAATTGGAGAAAGAAGGAGCCAATCTACTCATTGTGAAATATGAAGATTTACATAAGGTAAGATTTCACAAATTCAAATTAATTATTTATAGATTTTTTTTTATATGCCTTCTATAGTTATTTAAATACACAGGGAGCGATGGATAAATTGTCGCCATTTTGTATGTTTAGTTTCATGCCTGCGCATTATTTGTCTTTGATTTTGTTGCCTGCACAGTATAGTAGGGTCAGTTGGGCCACCGTCTGTGAGAAAAAGAGTGCCATGATGCTATTCACTATGCCAGAAATTTGGAAATGGTGTGCTGTACAGCTTGGCATTCATGCTGGAAGCACCAATACGAACATTTCAGTGTGTTTGGGTGTCAATCTGAGGACGTTGCAGAGGATTCGGAAAGAGTTGGATGAGTCTAATGGTGATTATGAAGGTGTTTTAGCGTGATCACTAGTGATGGTGATGTTATACCTCCATTCATCTTTCCACAGGACCTCAGACTCGACACAGAGGCCTACATCAAGTGTCTTGAGGATATAGTACTGCCCTGGGTTAAGAGGGCAGCTGCTGGCAACAGGACTCTGCACCATGCCACACAAGCAGGAGAACCCAGTCATGGCAGTCAGACAATTTCTGTGTCCACATCACCTCTTACGTCTGGCCATCTAACTCCCCAGACTGCAACCTTCTTGATTATTATGGGTGGGGCACAGTTGAGTTAAAGACCAACAAAACTCCTTGTAACTCTAAAGATGACCTGAAGGCAAGGATTATAGCAGCATTCACCAACAAGGAGACTCTCCAGAAGAGTTGCAGGAGATTCCAAAGTTGGCATGGTTGAAGTCAATGGTGATTTTATTGAACAAATTTACTCTTTAGTATTTCAAGATATTTTTGTGTAATTTTGGCAAATATATCTGTTAAAATGTGATGTCAGTGTCATTTTCTTTTTTTGCGTAACTTAGACGACAATTTATCCATCACATACTGTATATATATCTTAATAAATTTTCTTGTAGCCAAATACATTATGAACGAGTTATCTCCCTTGGTCCGTAACGTTAAAAAATTTGTAATGTTTTCAGCAAACCCTTGTGTTTGGCTTGTGTGTGTATTTTCCTTTATGCATGGGGTCAATTGTAATTAATATTTCTCTCTTCAAAGGACTTCTTTCAATTTAACTTAAAAAGATTTTTTCTATATTTAATATTTGAGTTATTTTCTTATTTTTACATTGATCATAGTTACGTTTAATTACTTTTTAATTGCTAGCTGTTTTATTCTAATTATATCTATGTATGGGGTTAATTGTAATTGATGTTTCTCCATTGAAGGGGCTTCTTTGAATTTAATTTATAATTTATATCATTTAATTCCATTTCACTTACATTGTACTAACTTTGATTTTTTACCCATTTAATCAAGATTAGTATTCCATTTTAATTTTCCCTATATACTAATAATTTTTTATTTAGCTTAGTTTATAATATTAACATTTTGCACCATTTTTACACAATCTTAAAACCTTCCCTTTATTTTAAAGATTGTAATTCTTTATGAAATTCTCATGTTAAATTTCCAACCATATTTAAACTTTCATCTAGAGTCTAGTCTTTTTTTCGTCTTTCTCTTTTCTCCCTTTTAGATCCCTTTTTCCTTTCTTTTCCTTCCTGTCTCTTATTTAAATTTTTTGAAAAAGTTTTATTTTATCTGACTTTTTAGTGTTAACAAGTTCTTGCAAAGCAAAATGGCCATTCAGATTTAAATTAAATGGGACTCATTTAAACATGCATGCAAACCTACAAAACTTCATCCACAACATCCTTGTAGAAAAAACAACCATAATAGTCTCATCCACATGCAAAAAAATGGCTAAAAATAATGGAATCATTAATGATAAAAAAAGAAAAAAGCAACATTATCTCTAAAAAGCAATACTCTTATATCAACTATAAACAATACCACAATGTACAGATCCTGTTTAGAAAAAAAAACAAAAAGATCATTGGCATTTCCATGGATCCACATTAAAAAAAAATCTACATATTCAGTTAAAAAAATAAATCATCCTTGATAATGATTAATACAATTGCCAAAAGCTCTTGAATATAGAGAGTATTTGAAAAGTTGTTACACACTTTATGTTCAGAAAAGAAATCACTTATACAAGCACAAGAAAAATTGAATAAAAAGATTAATCACAGTACCTTGTCAATTGTCTTTAATGAAACTTGTATAAAAGAGGGTTTGCTCCCAAAATACACACACATACATACATATACATATATATATATATATATATATATATATATATATATATATATATATATATAGTTTTAAAGTGTGGTATATTTATGGATAAAGTGCTCAATATCAGAGAAATAGCATATGTCAATTTAATTATAAAAGTGAACATTGAAGTCAGCACTCAGAGATGACAGTCTGTTTCATTCTAGCATGAAACAGCCTGTCGCCTCTGAGTGTTGACTTCAATGTTCACTTTTATATATATGATAAGGAATAAGTTTTTCATTTATTAAACTGTATATTTATTTACATCTACCATCCTGAATATTTGAGAAATCATAGACAAATATAGGTTGTCTGGCAAAATTTGAAGCTATGTCCCCTTAGGGCAAACTTTCATTATATCTTAGATGCTTTAACCTCTTGGCTACAGAGAATCTAATGGTCAAGCAAAGCCTGAATATTGATTTTCAACACAAAACCTTTCACTATTCTTAAAACATACATCTCTGCTCAGTTTTGTATCCTAATGTAAACAAAGAGAATTTTTAGGAATGGAATTTTCATTTATTAATCTGACATTTATTTTATTTTATTCAGCCTGGTAGGGGGAAATAAATAGATTTACTGTTTAATAATAAAAGAAAAAAAACATTTTCAAACTCTTCCTTTATTTTTCAGGATCTAGCTGCAAACATTGAACGTATTGCCAATTTTCTCAACAAGAAGCTCAGTCGTGAGCAAGTGGCTGCAATTTGTCGCCATTGCCAGTTCCAGAATATGAGACAGAACAACAGTGTCAATTATTCGTGGTGGGACGATTATGGAATCAGGGATAAAACTCAGTCACAATTCCTCAGAAAAGGTAAGGATGTCTTTCTTTCTTTCTTTTCTTTTCTTTTTTTTTTGTATCTGATGTTCACCCAATACAAGGCCCAAGAGCCACTCAAGGCAGAGGGTCACTGTATGGTTTTGTATGAGCATAAGAAAAGGCAAGAAGTTTATTTAATGAGGCTATGCAGGAAAGATAATGATTAACCTTAGACTTGAAGAGGTCAAGAGAAATGTGATTGGGGAAGAAAGGTATTTACATGTAAATAGATCTAATGAACACAATGGAAATTAGAACTTGGCTTTCTGATTAAGAATTCCGAGTCATTACCCATTACACCACCCACACATTCAAGCTTACAGCACCTGGTATTCCCTAGCAGTCACCCATCTAGGTACTGACCAGGCTTATTGCCATCAGAATCCAAAAAGCATCTGTTTTATTATATAAAATGCAGTGTAACTTTATATATTTATCAGTCAATCAGGCCTAGAACTAGCTGAGTGTCCTGGGTATGATGATAAACTACATCTGGCAGTAAAGCCTCTGATTGGGAGATTTTGTGGAGCATGAAAGCATCTCTTAATTATGTTGTTCCCAAATCAACCCTGACCCAGAGTGGTAGCACTTGTTAGGGTCCCAGCTATGGGCAAATAGTTAACCCCCCCAAACTGAGGTCAAAATACTATGAAAGTATAAAAATAGATTTTTATACTAAATATACCAGCAGTACATTTTTGTAAAGGGAAAAAATATTAACAGCAATACATTTTTGGAGTAAAAAAAAAAAAAAATAATAATACATATTTTATTCACATGAACCTATCCTAAAAATGTTGTCAGCATTAAATTACCCACAGAGGTTGATATACTGTAAAAAATAAACTAAACCAAACTTAGAACTAGTTGATGCTCATGACAGGCTTATGTAGAGAGGTAAACTGAGATCCTCTGTAAGGTAGGACCCACCTTTGTATGAAATCAATCCCAATCCTGCCTCAACAAAAAAAAAAACATGACTATGATAATGACATGTCACTACTTACTAATGGAATATTCCATTGAGATATTACAATATTACAATATGCAAATATGCAAATATGCAAATATGCCTCATGTTATCATAAAAACAGGAATGTCTCATTAGTAAACTGTGGAAACAGGTTATATATCATATTGGCTTTTGTTTGATTTTTTTTTTCTTTTATAATAGCTTTCTTTGGATACATTCTTTAAACCAACAATAGGATTAATTATAGATGAAAATTCTAAGGTCAATTACCGAGATAAGTATCTTTGTTTCTTATCTTCATCAATAACCTTCCCAGTGTCATAAGTTCCCAACTTGGTATTTATGCTGATGGTAAAACTATTGATTCTTGTCTTAATACTAAGTCTGATCGGTCTGACAAACTCTGACTTTTCTATAAATATTTTCATGGCAGTTATTCTAATAAACTCTCCTCCTTTGTAACTCGATCATGTGAATTTAAGTGTATGACCAGATTGGCTGTTAGGTCTCATCATTTTACTGTTGAATTAGTCAGATGTAACCATATATTTTATTCTAATAGTTTCTTTTCTTGCATTTTTTACTTGTCAGGGCTGGAGCAGCCTGGGGAGCCTTGGCTCCCCAAAATTTTTATGAATAGTAGTATTTTTTTTACAGGGTTTTATTTTTAAAAAAATACAAAAAGAAATAAATACAATAAAAAAAAAAAAACTATGAAAGCAAGGAAGAATATAACTTTCATAAAACCCCAATAAAAGAATTCTTCTTTAAAGGTTTACAATGATGGTAAATTTCCTTTTATTGTGTGGGTTGTGTTCTCATTTTCATTTGGAATTGTGGTGTGTCCAATAAAATAAAATATAAAAACAAAGATGAAATGTTCTTTCATTTGTTACACAGACGGTTCTCTATTATTTCAAAGATGATTTCTGCCAATCTAGAGGGACTGGAAATTTTAAATATTCTTGTCACTAACCATGTTGATGGCTTTTGATAACTTACAGTTAAATTCTAAATTTTTTTTTTTTTTTTCCCAAAATATTTGTTCCTGCCACAGCTCTGCATGTGGAACACTTTTCCAGTTTCTTGCTTCTCTGCCACCAACCAACCTTCAAAAATTTAAATGTTTCATCAATTGCCATCTTTTGTCTTTGGGAATCGTGTTCTTTTATAGCCCATTCTCCTAAAAACTTTTTGATGGTATAGGTTGTATTAGATTTGTTTTATTTTCTTTCTTTGACACAGTACGTCCTGGGTATGACAATAAACTACATCCAGCAGCAAGGCCTCTGATCGGGTGATTGGAGGAGTATGAAACCATCTCTTAATTGATGTTGTTTCCAGATCCACCCTAACCCAGGGTGGTAGCACCTGTTAGGGTCCTAGCTATGGGCAAATAGTGAACCCCCAAACAGAAGTCAACAGTACATTTTTTATAATGAAATGACCAACAATACATTTTGATAGCAAAATGACAATCAATGCAACAGGAAAAAAAATATAAAAATATATTTTTTAATATAAAATTACCAACAATACACAATCTACAAACTATATATCTAAAAAACATACATTTACTGTGAAATTATAAAATTATGTACAAAATATCTGTAGTTGACAGCATAAAACTGTGTTCAAAATATTTAGATTTCGGCACTAAATATCCCATAGAGGTTGATATGCCTCTAAATAAAATCAATCAATTAAACAATCAACATGAAAAATTCTTTCATGACATTAATCCATATAATATCCTACATTTCTTAAAGAAATCAAACTGTATTCCAAAATAAAACTACAACATATCAACGCCTCTAATAATTATATCCACACAAACATTTATATGCACAAAAGCAGAGTATCATCTACCATGTATTCAGTTGTGAAAGCAGAATAACATATATCATATTTTTATTATTTCAAAACTGCCAAGAAAATTAAATTTTAGCATTTAATGACCCATGAGGTGTTGATATGACGGTAAACAAATCAAACTTTCATACAACAGTAGACTTATATAGATAAAAATCCTAGATTACTTGTACAAAATTCTAACCAATGCAATAGCAAAATTACTTTATGATTGTACAGTTTATGTTAACTTTCTTTGGATATTTTTCCCTTTAATGATTTCAAAACCAAAATTCTTTCTTTCATGTGACAATAGAGTTGTGTAGATAAAAGATTATTAATGCCATTCATTTCCTTATTATTTTAAAAATAATTTAAAAAATGTGGCTGAGAAAACATTTGGAAATAGTTCTCATGAACAATATTCTAATGAATAAATTTAGGGACCTCCACAAAAAACTGATACCTAAGGTTTAAAATGAATTTTTAAAAATGGAAAATCTTTCTTGAAGCTTTTATTTTAGTTTTAATTTCAAGCTAATAAATTAAATTTGATGTTTCCAATATTGAAAATATTTTGCTGTATTTCAAAAACTAATTTAAATTGACTGGAATGAGGGTTTTTTTTTTTTTTGGTTTTTTTTTTGCTAAAATAACTGATTAGTGCCCCTTTTTTTAGTCATCTTTCATTGCAATGTAATTCTCTTTATTAAAAAAATCTTCCAAAAGTAAAATACACTTTTCTGAAACTTTGAGGAATATTAGCAGTAGCTGTATTTTTTACCTGACAATAGTTGTTTTGATGTGTAGACAGCCCGATGACAGATCTAATGTTGATCTATGGAAGCTTAATTTGTAAAACATAATTGAAGAAAATGACATGACTGCATTTTTTATATAATTTTTAAGTACTCAGTAATCTTTAAAAATTAGGAAAGTATTCTCCATAATTTAAAGTATAATTAATCTGATTTGAAGCAAATATTATTTACTTTATGTTTAAAAAGCACTGTGGAAGCTGTTTATTTAAGATGTTGACAGTTTGATGACCAATGGATGTCTCTCTATGGTGGCTATATCTGTAAAAAATAGTTGAAGAATATAACGTGTGCACCATTTTTATATAATTTTTTTTAATTACTCAATAATCTTAAAAATTTAAGAAAATATTCTCCATAATCTAACATTTTATTGAATTTTTAGATATTTTGTCTTTAAATTTACTATAATTATTGCTCTTGTTTCCTGATAATGTTGTGTATGGTCACCTGTACTTAGAAAAGTTGGCACATTTATACACATACAAAAAGAATTCAAAATTCTTTTTAAAATATTGGTATTTGATGATTTGTATTAATTTATGATTAATAAACATAGTTTTTCACTTAATAATAACATAATCTGAAAGGCTGAAATTAACACAGAATTTTAAGATTTAAAACTTAAATTTTTCTAATTCAAATTAAAAACATGAAAACAATTCTTGTAAAAATTCATTATTCATTGAAAAAATTATTTTCTTGAGACAATATATCTTATTTATAAAACCAATTAAATTCTTTTCTAATTAAATAATGTCATAGTTTTATTGCAGATTTTTGGTAAATGGCGTTTCTGTTTGAAAAAAACAAATTGATAATTTAAATTCTCCAAGGAATCCTGCTTTTAATATTAATATCAAGAGGCTGGAATTTTAGTTCGTTGAAATTTCATAAAATTAAGTGGGTCTAACAGATGTAAAAAAAAAAATTTTACCAACATTTTCTAATAAAAAAAATAAATTTTAAAATAATTTAATTTGTGAATAAGTCCTCAAAATTTCATTAAAATATAACAATTATTTGATTTTTGCAAGAATTTTCAAAACAATGTGTTTTTAATGCCATAAAAGACACTAAAATTTCCAATACTAATCTTTGGCCTACCCACTGAAGCAAGAAAAACAAGATTTTTAACCCAAATTATGATCATGATAGAAAGGATTAACAAATTTAATAAAATAATCAAAAAATACTTTGGTCTTTCCTCTTAATAATAACATAAACATTTCGGCAAGAAACTTTGTTTTTATCAAGTTTGGAGCCTTTTGTCATCATGCTATGCTCATTTTTAGCAAATGTTTTGAGGTATCTAGCTATTTACTCTGCCTCCCCACTAAGATGAGTTGTGA